CAGCCCCTTGCCTTGTACCCCATCACCACCCACCACCCACCACCTATTATCCACCACCCGGCACCCCTCACCCGCCACGCCCACCAACCAACCACCACACACCACCCACCACACACCACCCACCACACCACCCATCACCCACCACCCACCACTACCCAGCACCCGCCAGCCACCACTACCCACTACCCACCACCCACCACCTACTCCTCCCCACCCCACCCCAGCCCGCCCCAGCTCCTGCCCCCTGGCCCTAGATTCCAGCCTCCGACCCACGGCCCCACCCAACGTTCGCCCCCCCAGCCTCAGCCCCAGCCCCTAGGCGGGCTGGGGGCTGGGGCTAGGACTGGGTGGGGCCGGGGCCTTGGGGCTGGGCCTGAGGCTGGGGCTGGGGTTGGGGGCAAGCCCTGGCAGGGGGGGCTGGGGCTGGGGTCGGAGGCTGGGGGCTGGGGCTGGGGTCGGAGGCTGGGGGGCTGGGGCTGGGGCTGGAGCTGAAGATTTAAATTTTTAAAATTCTTTAAATTCTTTAAATTCTTTAAATTTTGAAATCCGGACGATTTCAGAATTTAAAGAATTTAAAGGATTTACCTCCTTTAAATTTTTAAATTCTTTAAATTTTTAATTCCGGACGATTTCAGAATTTAAAGGATTTACCTCCTTTAAATTTTTAAATTCTTTAAATTTTTAATTCCGGACGATTTCAGAATTTAAAGAATTTAAGGAATTTAAAAAATTTAATCCCGTGGGCTGGGGTCGAAGGCTGGGGGGCTGGAGCTGGAGCTGGACATTTAAATTTTTAAAATTCTTTAAATTCTTTAAATTCTTTAAATTTTGAAATCCGGACGATTTCAGAATTTAAAGAATTTAAAGGATTTACCTCCTTTAAATTTTTAAATTCTTTAAATTTTTAATTCCGGACGATTTCAGAATTTAAAGGATTTACCTCCTTTAAATTGTTTAAATTCTTTAAATTTTTAATTCCGGACAATTTCAGAATTTAAAGAATTTAAAGAATTTTAAAAATTTAATTCCGTGGGCTGGGGTCAAAGGCTGGGGGGCTGGGGCTGGAGCTGGACATTTAAATTTTTAAAATTCTATAAATTCTTTAAATTCTTTAAATTTTTAATTCCGGACGATTTCAGAATTTAAAGAATTTAAAGGATTTACTTCCTTTAAATTTTTTAAATTCTTTAAATTTTTGATTCCGGACGATTTCAGAATTTAAAGGATTTACTCCATTTAATTTTTTTAAATTCTTTAAATTTTTAATTCCGGACGATTTCAGAATTTAAAGGATTTACCTCCTTTAATTCTTTTAAATTCTTTAAATTTTTAATTCCGGACGATTTCAGAATTTAAAGAATTTAAGGAATTTAAAAAAATTAATCCCGTGGGCTGGGGTCGAAGGCTGGGGGGCTGGAGCTGGAGCTGGACATTTAAATTTTTCAAATTCTTTAAATTCTTTAAATTCTTTAAATTTTTAATTCCGGACGATTTCAGAATTTAAAGAATTTAAAGGATTTACCTCCTTTAAATTTTTTAAATTCTTTAAATTTTTAATTCCGGACGATTTCAGAATTTAAAGGATTTACCTCCTTTAATTTTTTTAAATTCTTTAAATTTTTAATTCCGGACGATTTCAGAATTTAAAGGATTTACCTCCTTTAAATTTGTTAAATTCTTTAAATTTTTAATTCCGGACGATTTCAGAATTTAAAGAATTTAAAGAATTTTAAAAATTTAATTCCGTGGGCTGGGGTCGAAGGCTGGGGGGCTGGGGCTGGAGCTGGAGCTGGACATTTAAATTTTTAAAATTCTTTAAATTCTTTAAATTCTTTAAATTTTGAAATCCGGACGATTTCAGAATTTAAAGAATTTAAAGGATTTACCTCCTTTAATTTTTTTAAATTCTTTAAATTTTTAATTCGGACGATTTCAGAATTTAAAGGATTTCCCTCCTTTAAATTTTTTAAATTCTTTAAATTTTTAATTCCGGACGATTTCAGAATTTAAAGGATTTACTCCCTTTAAATTTTTTAAATTCTTTAAATTTTTAATTGCGTATATACACAGTATATATTAAGACACAGAGCAAGCCCTACGCCAAATAGGACCTAAAGGTCCTACGTACTTAGGGGTTTAGGCTTTAGGGTATCATGGGGAACTAAAGGTTAACCTTTTTGGTTATACAGGGATTGTATATATAGGGACTATACTACCCAAAAAAGGTTTAAACAAAATAGAGTGTATTTGGGACATATTAGGGGGTAGCACAAGGTAACACTACTCCCTGCAAATGTATGTCACAGAGGAGTGAACCTAGCATACGCCAACCTCAAGGGGGTAGTTGGGGGTCTAGGAAAGCTTTCGGGTTGAAGGTTTAGGGTTTTGGGTTTCGAGGTTTGGGGTTTGGGTTTGGGGGTTTAGGGTTTAGCATTCAGAGGGTTTAGCCATCAAGGTATGGGGATTCAAGAGACTTCTTATAAGAGTATGGGGTCTTAAGAGCATTTCAATTTCTGGAGAGCCTAGGCGCAGAGAACTCATGCAACTATGGGCCTGGGTTTCGAGTGCTTACAGTAAACGCCTAATAGTTGGAAACCCAATAGCCTCAGTCCTTAACAGTAATGTATAGGGAATCCCAGCACTATTTGGCCTTAGCAAAGTTTCCAACTTTCTGGGGTTCCCTATAGTGTTTAGGCCCATGTGGCTTTTCCCCAGAGGTCCGGTTACCATTATCATGGGCTACAACAGTATGGGTTGTTCTCAAAATTAGGGTCCCTTTTTGGGTCCTTAATATAAGACGGCACCTATTATTTAGGGTTCCCAACAGGGGGACCATAATTTTGACAACCACCCATATGGTTATGCAGGATCCCTAAACCCTAAACTACTGAACCCCAAACCCTCAGCCCTAAGCCGCGAAACCCCAGGCTTCTCTGATGGGAGGAGGCCACAAGCGGGGTTTAAGATTCTTGGGGCAGGGATTCCTTAATATGAACCCTATTATGGGAACCCTAATCCCTACTAAACCCCCATAGGCTAAAACCCCTTTCGGCCTCCTATGATTCTCATCCTCTGTCAGGACTTGATTGAAGGGCTGAGAGTTCAAAGGGTGCATGACTTGCAGGGCTTAGGGCCCTGTACATCCCCTCAACCCTAAACCACTAATACATGTACCCGAAGCCCTAAACCCCTAAACTCCTGCGAGTTAAAACTTGTAGATTTTAGGGCTTGTAGGGCCTTAGGAATAACCCGAAACCCTAGACGCGAATTTAGCGCTTACAGCCCTAAGGCTTCAAGATGCAAGGCTCTCAGAGCTGAGGTACTATGATAAGGTTCAGGGTTTGCTATGCGGCATAGGGTATTTTGGGGCTTAGGGGTTAGGATATGCAGGGCAGGGTCTAAGCGTTACAGGTGTCTGAGTTCAGGCCTGGCTGTGGGTTTATACTAACCATCGGTGTATGTATGCTCGCTAAGATCTCTAGTGCCCTCCCCATTGAGGTTCAACGAATGCAAGTAGAAAAGAGCAGTCACTGCTCGTCACGACCTCTTTCCATTATTGCACTGTTTTGAACTTTGGGTGCCAACCTGCCGGGAACTGCAGCAATCCGCGATCCGAGAGTCACAGTGTCTTCGCTGATGCTGTCCTTCGCTGCTGGCAGAAGCATCCTATCCTACACTCTTTGCACGCAGAAAAAAACTGACTGGTTGCACCGAAAAGACAAACGGGATGTGTAGCTGTGCCCCCCCACCCCCTTCAAAAACAAACCGCCATCGAATATCCACAAGCCCAAAGACCCTAGACCCTCTAAGCCAATCCTTAAGACGAGAGATTTCAACCCCAAGTCGGTATGCCGCTACGAACTAGCCTCAAATCAAACCTCCAGCCCGTAATTCTCAAGGAACAAGCCTGAATTTAAGAAATGTGCTCGCAACATGAGAAGCCCTGATAAACGCCTCCGCCCCATGAGTAGTTTAAGTCCTAAAGCCTATAACCCTGCATTCGGGGTTAGGATTCAACTCTCAGTTCCAGGTCCCCTGCACCAAGACGTCTCTACCAGGACCCTCCTTGCACCCTCAAACAAGGGTATATGGTCCCAAATAAGGGGCATTCAGGGTCTAATAGAGGGTAGATGGAGGGTCTAGGTAATTTCATCTCAGGATTAGACTGACTCGTGGATCAGCAGACTTAGGAAGTAACGTCATCACGAGCACTGTGTGGAGACATAACTGCATGCAAGCTATTTTGTTATGTCTTGTTCAGAGAAGTGCTACGTCGCACAATCCTATTAAGCACCCACTCTAGTGCCCAAAATGTTGTCAAATCACTTCGCTGTCCTGCCTCGGTCGCAAGATAACTCACGATGCTAGCTGCTAGAGGCATCAGTTCGAGAATGGTCAGTTTGAGATCGGATCACCATTTCGCGTTGGCTTCCAAGGTTTAGAGTTTCGGAGTTTAGGTGCTTGGGATTTCACAATGCTAAACTATAAGTCCTAAACAGTGTAATGACATATCCATAGCATTGTAGAAACCCAAAGAATCTTCTTAGGCTGTTAATTGATAGGATATATACTATCCTATTATAGGATATATAGGCTATTTATAAATAGCCTAAATAGTCTATTATAGGATATGTAAATATCCTAAAATAGACTAATTTTCTATGTCTTGAAATGCCATCGTATTGGCATTGAGCTGCAAGGCCACAATAAGTTGCTTGCATCAGTGCCTTCACTTGGCATGTGAAAGGGTCAGCAGGAAGCCAAAGGCTCCTAAGGTTAGAGCTAGGATTCGTAGCGAGACAGGAAACCGAAGGCTAGATCTAGAGTAATGATCGAGAGGAACAGGAAGCCGAAGGCTCCTCTAGAGTAATGATCGACAGGAAGCCCAAGGCTCCTCTAGAGTGTTTGCATGCCTGTAGAGCGTGAGTGCTTGTTTAATGCATGTGCATATATCTGCAGCTTTTGTGCTCGAAGCTCTTAAGCTAGTGCCCTTCGAAGCCATGAGGGTGGCAGCTCTTGTGCTGCTGGTGGCCGTGTGGGGCCGTGTCGACGATGGATGGGAAGTCGTTCGCACGGCCCCTGAAGATGGTGCAGCTGGTGCTGGTGCTGCCCCGAACCAGCCGATGCAGGTGGACGAGGAGGGCCCTCCGGAAGTGCCAGTGCCGGTGCAGGCGGAAGTGATCCCCGGTGCTGGTGCTGCAGGTCCGGAAGTGCCAGTGCAGGCGGAAGTGATCCCCGGTACTGGTGCTGCAGGTCCGGAAATGCCAATGCCGATGGAGGCGGAAGTGATCGACCTGAGCTTCGAGGAATCTGCGGAGCTCCATGAGGCGGCGGAGAAAGCGAAGGCAGCCGCTGCCGCTGAGGCGGCTGAGAGGGCCAAGGCTGCCGCTGAGGCGGCTGAGAGGGCCAAGGCTGCCGCTGAGGCGGCTCAGAGGGCGAAGCTCGAAGAAGCTGAGAAAAAGAAGGCAGAAGCTCTAGCAAGGGCTCAACAGAAGACGAAGATGCACGAGGAGGCTGCCAAAAAAACTCACGAGGCAGCAGAGAGGCTAGCTGAGCTTTGCATGGCTGAAGAAGAGGCAGCAGCCCGTTTGGAGCAACTGCTGCAGCAGGCGGCCTCCAGCTCAGGCGCCACTTCAAAAATTTAGGAAGCCAATGGCTCCTTCAGCTTTATAAGTATAGATCAGGCAGCCACAGGCTCCTAAGCTCCGGTCCGGCCTGCAGGTGCTCAAAGCTCCACGTGGAGACCGGGTGCACCTGGCCCAGAGCAGACTCAAAGCCCAGGCTCGATCCCGACAAAATCTTTTAATCTAAGACAATGGCTCCTAAGCTCCTGTCCGGCCTGCAGGTTGTCAAAGCTCCACGGCTGCACCTGGCTCGGAGCAGACTCAAGGCCCAGGCTCGACCCCGACAAGTTCTAAGGCTTAATATAGGAAGCCCATGGCTCCTTCAGCTTTTAAGTAGGATGGATCAGGCAGCCACAGGCTCCTAAGCTCTGGTCCGGCCTGCAGGTTGTCAAAGCTCCCCGTGGGCAACTGGTCCGGAGCAGACTCAAGGCCCAGGCTGGACCCGGCAAAATCTAAGGCATGTAATCGATCCAGATCCCTGCTGCAGGTGCTGGAGTTCCCCCGTGGCGGCGAGCTGTTCCTGAAAGTCCACCACCGCCGCAAGGGCCGCCGCCGCAAGGGTGGCAAACTCAACCGCCGCAAGGGCCGCCGCCGCAAGGGTGGCATACTCAACCGCCGCAAGGGCCGCCGCCGTTCAGCTGGCCTCAAGGACATGCTTGGGCTCCAGGCTACCCTTGGCAGTTTCCTCAAGCATGGCCTGGAGTCACGTGGCCTCCTCCGCTAGGCTGGCCCAGCTGCACGTGGCCACAAGGTCCACTTCAAGCTCCACCTCAAGGTCCACTTCAAGCTCCACCTCAAGGTCCTCAAGCTCCACCTCAAGTTCCTCAAGCTCCACCTCAAGTTCCACTTCAAGCTCAAGGTGAAGTTCACTTTCAAGCTCAAGCACAAGCTTCACCTCGACCTCCACCTCCACCACCTCAAGTTGAACCTCAAGCTCGAGAAGCTCCACTCCCACCGCAGGAACCTCCACGTCCACAAGCTGAAGGTCGACCAGAAGCTGCTGGGTTTTCAGGTGGACAAGCTCGTGCAGGACATGGTTTAATCAGGTAGCCAGCGGCTCCTTTTTTACAGGATTTATAAATCAGGTAGCCAGCGGCTCCTTTTTTACAGGATATTGGTGGCATCGTAATGCTTGCTTCCAGGACCTCGCCTCGACCTACGATGGTGCAAAGTCTGCCATGCCCAGAGCTACTACCAGTCCGGCACATGTGTCAACCCGGCCTGCGAAGCTTAGCTTATTTTGAGACCCTAGACCCTAAACCCCTAAACCCTCAACCCTAAGGCCGAAATTTAATCCATACAGCCGAGGCATTGTACACGGGCAAACGTCCAACCACGGGGGGGTGGCGCTTAAAGCGAGGAACCCGTGGCAAGAAGCGGGCTGAGTGGTGGAGCAAGCGGCACGGAGGCCAGTGTGTTATAAATAGCAGGCAGCCTTGGGCTCCTGTAAGTATATATATATATATATATATATATTATAAATAGCAGGCAGCCTCGGGCTCCTTCCTATAAGTATATATCCTATAAGTATATTATATATAATATATTATATTATATATTATATATATATGTAGATAACTCCTTAGAGTGTTGTCCCTGCCCATGCAAGTAAACCCCCCTGCAGGTGCTTCTGGCTCCAAGGGCCAGGATGACGAGGAAGATGACGATGAAGAAGAGGAAGACGATCAGACATGGGGCCCCTGGAATCCCAAAGATGGCTCGAACGGTGACAAGAACGGCGGTGGATGGGGCTCCTCTGGTGGATGGGGTTCCTCGCAAAGCTGGGGAACTCCAGCCGTGTGACCATGCAGCGAGCATAATGCACGATCGGTTCTTGCAGAAAAAAGTTTTGTGTCCGTGTTGTGTACTGTAAGTGACTTAAGGCAGGAAGCCTCAGGCTCCTTGAAGTGGTAGAGGTGCAGCAATTATAACAGGAGCACTATATGCACCCTAAACCTTAAACCCTTAAACCCTAAAGCCCCAAACCCTAAACCCGCCTGCGAGCTTCTTGCAGTTTTTCAATAGGGCAGGAAGCCTCAGGCTCCTCAGAAGGTTTAGGACAGGAAGCCTCAGGCTCCTCAGAGGGTTTAGAACAGGAAGCCTTGGGCTCCTGAAGCTTGAAGCTAGAGTTTGACCGTGGCCGAGGATTACTGTAGCACTCTAGAGGCTCCCATGTCAGCCCAGGCCCCTTGTCATCTGCATACCGTGCTGCAGTCCTGGAGCTCAAGACAAGACGTGTTTCACCCTCGCTTGAAGCCATGAGCCAGAGTGCCTTGGACGTGTTCTTCGGTGGAAAGGGTAGTGAGCCAGAGCTCGACACTCAGCAAGAAGACACTCAAGAAGTGGAGGTAGTTCAGGAAGTCCCGGAGCCTCAAGAGCCTGAAGCTAGCGAGGTTGAGGCTGCACCCAAGGCCAAGGCCAAGGCCAAAGCCAAGGCCAAGGCCAAGGCCAAGGCCAAAGCCAAGGCCAAGGCAAAGGCGAAGGCCAAAAGCAAGGCCGCCGAGGAGCCTAAAGCAAAGGCCAAAGGCAAGGCGGCAAAGTCCGAGAAGTCCAGCGAGGACGAGAAGGCGGGCGACGAGGCCGTGGCGAAGGAGGAGAAGCAGCAGGAGTCGAGCCAGGAGCACGAGCAGGACGAGAAGGCCGACAGCGACAGCAAGGCCACCAAGCCCCAAGCCAAGGCCAAGGCGAAGGCCAAAGCCAAGGCCAAAGCCAAGGCCAAGGGCAAGGGAAGCACGGTCGAAGAGCCGAACCCCCCCGACAACGGTACGGAGAAGCGACCGGGCAGCCCGCCGGAGGAAAGCAGCAAGGCGAAAAAGTCTCGCTCGGACCAGGACCGTGAGAAAGCGGCGAAGCTGGGCGACCTGCAGCTTTGCAACAGCGAGCCCCAGCCGCCTGCCGGGCAGGGGGAAAGCAGGGACAAGAACAAGGCATGGTGGTTCTCGAAGCACTTGAGCACCATGCCGGACGATATCCAGAAGTTGTTTCTCTCTGAGAAAGTGTCACGGGTGCCTTGCCACATTTTGATATCTAGGCTTTGGCCCTATAAAGGAGGCACCGTCAGAGGCAGCCTTTGGCTCCTGCTATAATTGCCATAGGCTTTTGATCCTTGAGGTAGCCTTTGGCTCCTGCTGTGCAACCATCTGAGGCCGACAAGACGAAGCTCATCAATGGTGCGGTTGAGAAGAAATCCGGGGGCAAGGCCGGCCAGATGTACAAGCTGAACACCGAGTCCGCCGTGCTCCAGCAGCTGAGCACCTTCTACAAGAAGGTTTGTGGCAAGGACAAGGTGAAGGGCAAACCCAGAGCACTGATGGTGGCCAAGCTGGGAGGGGAGGAAGCTTTCAAGAAAGCTCTGGCCACCGGGGATGTGTATGAGGTGAACAACAATGGTTCCTTGTTCTACTGCTTCAGAGAGATCGTCGTCACCAATGAGACTGGCACCAACAATAGGATGTCGACATCGAAGCTACGGAGCATTTAGAGGCTTATGTTTTAAAAGCTTGAATGAGCTATAGATACTAAGTTTTGTTCCCATCAGCTCAGGAAGCCCGACCAGAGCATCACCGACTCCGCCGCCGAGGGATTCGACAGCTTCTTCGCAAACTTCCAACCATGCCTGGAACCGGACCGTGCTGCTGGATGTGGCTCAGAGCTCCAGGGTGGCCTTCTGGCTTTGTGTGACAAACCGGGAGCAGAGAGCTGGACTGCGGAAGCTAGTACGAAGGTGGAGGAAGCCTTGCAGTGGGCAAATGCCACGAGGATCAGTGTTTCCAAAGTGCTTTCAAAGGAGACGGCAGCTTTGAGCAAAAGCTCGGTGTGGACGACCCTCAAGGGCCAGCTCCAGAAGGCTTGGGAGGACTTGATGCCCTTGCACTCGGATCTCGAGAAAGCGAAGCTCTTCAAGAACCTTTCGCTTGCTGAGCTGAGGTCGCTGTTGCAAAAGGCTGCAACTGGCCTGCTCGCAGCCCAGGATTTGATCAAGGGCATGACTGCCCTCATTTGATTTTGAATGTTTCCATTCTACAATTCGTCTTTTAGGATCGACGTGTCATGACACATGTGCATGTTTGCTCTGGGGATCGAAGCAGCTGCTGCGACGAAAAAGAAGTGCATGTATGCATGTGAGCTTTAGGAAGCCAAAGGCTCCTAAGAGAATATTATATATATCCTAGGTGTATGTTGCAAAGGAAGCCTTCGGCTCCTCCAAAGAAGACTTTATCTTCGGGTTTGGTGGATGTTTCTTAAGTTAAACTCTGAGGCTTTAGGGTTTGCAGGGCCATAAGTTTTGAGATAGATGATTTTTTTGGTTGAGGTGTCTGGGTTTTCTGGAGTACTCGGGTTTAGGGTTTTTGGTTGCAGCTTTTCTCGAGTTAAAGGGTTAGGCTATAATTGAGGGTTGCGGGCTGGGGTTATAGGGGTTTAGGGTTTTCACGATATTGGATTTGGGATGTTCGGGTGTTCAGGATTCAGGGGTTTAGGGGTTTAGGGTATAGGGTTTGAGATTCGGTGGTTTAGAGTTGGGATGTAGCCTGTTCATGGGTTTAGGGTTTGAGGGGTTTAGGGTATGGGGTTTTGGGTTTGAGATTCGAGGGTTTCGGGTTTGGGGGTAACGTGGGTTCAGGGGTTTAGGGTATAAGGGTTTAGGTTTGAGATTCGGGGGTTTCGGGTTTGGGTGGGAGGGTGTTTAGAGGTAACGTGGGTTTAGGGGTTTATTTGTACGGGTTTAGGGTATTCGGCTTAGGTATTTTGGTTTAGGTCTAAGCTAGGGGCTTTAGGGTTTAAGGACGTTTTAGGGGTTTAGGTTATAAGGTTTAGGGTTTTCACGGGCTTGGGGATAGCAAGGTGTTCAGGGCTTCTGGTTTGCGAGTTTAGGGTAGGGCTTAAGGTGAGTCGAAGTTTCGTCGAAATTTCGATCAAACTTCGACTCCTTCGGTGGTGCTTTTCTCACGGGGCATTGAAAATTTTCAATGCCCGGTAAAAAAGCGCCACCGAAGGAGTCGAAGTTTGATCGAAGTTTCGACGAAACTTCGATTCACATAGTAGAAGTTTCATCGAAACTTCGATCAAACTTCGACTCATGCAGTCGAAGTTTGATCGAAGTTTCGATTCCGAGCAGTCGAAGTTTGATCGAAACTTCTACTGCCCAATCGAAGTTGCATCGAAGTTTCGATTGCGAATCGAAGTTTGATCGGAACTTCGACTCATGAGTCGAAGTTCCGATCAAACTTCGACTCACGAGTCGAAGTTTCGATCAAACTCCGACTCGGAGCAATCGAAACTTCGATGAAACTCCGATTCACTGAATCGAAGTTTGATCGAAGTTTCGATGAAACTTCGACTCATGAATCGAAGTTTCATCGAAACTTCGATGAAACTTCGATTCAACACCCAACTCACCCGGTGGCGCTTTCTGTCCGGGCACTGAATTTTTCAGTGCCCGGACGAAAAAGACCACCGGAAAATCACCCAGCCAGCACCACCCAAACACCACACACGACCCACCGCCCATTGCCCAACACCCACCACCACCTAGCACCCACCACTACCACCCAGCACCCAGCACCCACGACCAACCACCAACGACCCAGCACCCACGGCACCCACACCCAAAACCCGCCACCCACCGCCGCCACGAGCAACCATCCACGACCCACCGCCCACCACCCGCCAGCCACCACCCACCGCCCACGACCAACCACCAACGACACAGCACCCACGGCACCC